ATTTTCTCAAATTTTTGTTTCTGTCATAAGGTATTTTAATTACTGTATTTCCCATAATATGAAAGCAATGATTTTGCCTGTCAGAATGTGCTCAAATCTTACCTTGGAAAGACATCTTCAAACATTGGTGACATTCATGATCATGGGCCACTTATTATGCTGTAAATTCTTATGTGTGCATATTAACTAATGTATAGTGTGTAGAGTGATCAAAAGATTGAGAATATAGGAAATAGATGCAAGTCTGAGTTAGAATGGAAAGTTAATGTCAGATGGAACAGCTGACCACTGATTTCAGGAAGTGCTCATTTCTATATAGAAGAGTATCTGATTGGCAACTGGCACCTATTTGCATCTCCTGACAACAGTAAGCAACTGCACTCTTAAGTCCTTTGAGTGTCAGTATCACATTTTTAAAATTTCCTTCTCACTCTAAAGGATTGTGGTAGTTCTAAGGATATCAGGATGGCATCTATTCTTCTGATGTAAACAGACATTAAAAATTAGACTCCTATATTTATAAAGTTGTGTAAATAAAATGACCTCTCCAAAATCTGTTGCAAGATAGAGAGAAATCAGCAGTATGTACTTAGTGCAAATCATTTGAGAATGCAATTCAGATAACAATTTACATTATACATGAAGAGATACACAATGAAGAGAAATTTCTCAATAATCACACTTAAAACTCTAAAGTCAGCATCTAGTGAGAAGATCATGTGAAAGCAGAGACCCACAGCAGGGCACTGAGCATAACTCCTGGAGTCTATTTGTGGAGAAGGGGAAGGGATGAGCAGAGGGGTCAGGAATATGCTGGTGAAACCCAAAGAAATGCTGACCTAAGCAAGTGTGTGAGCTCAAGGACCCCAGTCTGATAGCTAGGGAACCTGCATGGGACCAACCTAGGCCCCCTGAACATGGGTGTCAGTGTGGAGGCCTGGGCAGTCAATGGGGCCTCTGGCAGTGAAACCAATATTTATCTGTAGTGCATGAATGGACTTTGGGAGCCCATTCCCTATGGACAGATACTCTCTCAGCCTAGACACATGGAGGAAAGCCTAGGCCCCACCCCAAAAGACATAAAGAATTTGATGATGCCCATGGAAAGCCTCATCCTCCCTGGGAAGAGGATGGAGGGTGGGATGGGGGATCACAGGAGGGCTTGGAAGCATGGGAGGGAGAGGGAACTGGTATTGGAATGTAAGATAAGATTGCTTTTAATTTAAATAAAAATTTAGTTAAATAGTCAAAAGTCAGGTTTTATATTGTCATGAACAATAAAACAACTGATATGATCCATTATTTTAGCAAACTCTTATTTAAAAATATTATATGACTAAGAAACTCTCCTTGGTACTTGAAATTCAATACAAAATTAAAAGGTTGTTTTCATGTATTTTAAAGTATATCAAATAAAATTAGAAAATGAAAATAGATATCAATAAAATATAAATATTACAATATGATAAATATAACAAAATACAAAAAATATACAAACATTTATTAGTTTATAAGGTAAGAAACCTGAGAGAGTGAGAAAGAGAGAGAGAGAGAGAGAGACAGACAGACAGACAGACAAAGACGAAGGAGAAATTCAATGTGTCTTATGACATTTTTAAGATCTTTTAAGAGGATAGACAACCATGTAAGTAAAAATATTCTGGGCACAGACTATTTTGAGCACAGATGTCTTAAAGAAATATATACTAATAGTTTTAAAAGCCTTATCACAGGCTAGAAATAAATAAAAGAAGGAGTATAAATGGGATCAGAATTAAGATTTTTTTTGTTGAAATAATTTGTCATCTAGTTGATAAATGTTGACCATTGAAGCATTTGTAGGAAAGAATATGGGATTCTAATTTGAACTTTAAAAAGACTAACTTTTTAATAACTATGCTCAAAATCAATGAGGACAAATCTCAAAAGTAGTGAGAGACTGGCTTGGTTTCTATTACAGTAATTCAGCAAAGGTTAAACCATTTCCTACTAGGGTAGTTGGAAGGATTTACTAACATCATTGGACATGGAAAAAAGTGTTGGGGTTGTGGATATGTTTTTAAGACACTGGTCATGAAAGACTTGCAAATTAACTTTGTAGAGATAACTCCACACCAAAGTACATGGTTGATTAAATTAATTATAGTACTGTCTTATGATTACTACAGATGATATAATTTTTGTAGTTCCCAGACCTAGTTTAAGAACAATACTGTTCTGTAAAGTCAAAATATAACAGGGTACGTAAGGACTCAAGATTATATTAGAAACCACTGGTGATCTAGTGAAGAGGTAAATTTACAGAATATGATATGATTGACTGATCAAGTAGACTACATACACAGTTTTTTCTTAAGGGACATTAACAACCACTATAACATTTCAAATATGTTCATTTCTTTGCACATATTTGTGTGATGAATTCAACTGCCCCAAAGTGCTTTAAAATTATATCATCCAATACTCCTTTGTTATCTCTGCCACAAGAATCCTGCAGTAGTACATCTAGTGAGGTTTAACCTGGAGTAAAATCTCATTTCAGAGTGCATTATGGTTTGAAGTTCCACCAAGGCAGCTTCAAGGTTTCTACTGATTAGAATATAGTCATTTTATGTGCCACTTACTCCAATTCTACTTATACTCTCAAATATAGATATTCATTTCTGGTTTCAAATGCCAAATTTGTCCAGAAAAACATATGCCCCACTTTGTGTGTGAACATCTTGAAAGTTATATGGTCATTAGAACTATGGGATTTTCCCTCAGGAGACTCCTGCCAAATCATGTCCTGAGTTTTGATTTTAATCTCATTGTCTGTGCCCACTCATAGATTAGAACAGTATATATTGATGATTACAATGTAGAGTCAAAAATAAGTTATATTCACTAGTTTATTAAGGGAACATACTCACACAAGGGAACCAGTGACCAGGTTTGCACCTGAGTAGGACTGACACAGAAATGCTTCCCAGTCAGGTCAGCCAAGCGAGAGAGAGCTGCCTGCTCGCCTTTCTCCTTCTTAAACCCCTTTTAAATAAATGAGACCACGTCCAAGCGGGAGTGGTCGGCGATACCTATAATCAGGGTCTCTCCTACAAGTATACTTGTGCCCATCCTTGCAGCTGTGCACAGCTCCAGGTACTATTTCTACTTTATGACATCACAAATTGGACATTTGTCCAATTCTGTGACAAATAATGGACAATGCTACTAGCATAAAGTAAGAAACATTCAAATATCCTCCTAAGCATGTAGTGGTAACATTGAAGGATTTATTTTTAGCATATAGAAATGAAAATACAATGTTGAGGCAATAATTCTGTATGTCAATGCTAAAGATATGGGCTTTCCTGAACTGGGGTGCTACATTCTATACTCTTTAACTTTTGGAAAGAGAACACCATCAGAAAAATACAAGTCTTATCCTGCCATACAATGAGATGTCTTTAGTTCTAACTGTTGATTACTGTGGATGGAAGTTTCTGTCTCACTTGCTTCCACAGCCATTTAGTCCCAAATAAATACAAAGTCCTATATTAATTATGAACTGTTTGGATGATTTCTCAGGCTTCTTATTGGCTACCTCTCTCAATTATTAACCCATTTCTATCAATCTCCATGTGTTCTTGGCTTATTAGTGATGTTCAAACCTCTTGCTTCCTTGGCAACCACATGGCATCTCTCCCCAGACTCACCCTCCACATCCCAATAACCAGCATTGTCTCAGTCTAGTAGTCCCACCTATGCTTCCTGCCTGGGTATATCATGCCTGTCTATAGGCTGAAACAGCTTTCTTCATCAACCAATAAAAGAGGCATATAGTCACAGCATACAAAAGGATATCCCCCATCACATTAGAGTGAAAGCTGAATACAAGGAAAAGATGAAATAAAGGACTTATATTGACATGACAGCATGAAGAATATAGAGTGTGAGTTTCTGAAAGGCTTCTCTTTAAACTTCCAAATTTTGTCTGATGATTTTTCCCAGCTATTTAATAGCACAGAGGGAGACAGTTTGATACAGATAATAATCCTTGACAATGTTACAGAAAGTATGAATATTTTGGGGAAACACAGTATCACATGGCACTCCAGGGGATTGTAGATGTCTGGGGCTGTTGAGCACACTGTGTACACCATGACTTCACCTTTCAAGTAGTCATGCATTATGAAGAGGACAGACACATGGCAGACAGATCACAGTCTTTAGTGTTGTTTTACATTTAAACCGAGAGAAATGCAAACCATCTTGCCTTTTATGAAAACAAAGTGCCCATAAAATTAGAAAAAAAAGATATGTAATAACATTGCACTCTGTAAGGAAGTTGGTTTGGTTTTAAAACAAACATTTTCAAGATGAAAAGTATATATTACTCATGATCCTTCTCTGTAACACAGTTATTATAATTATTTTCTGCAGACACATTGTCTAAGTAGACTATGTGCAAGGTTGAGGAATATGTACTTCATGCATGTAACTACAAACTATGATATCATGGCTTCTAACTGCCAGCATTATGAGGCGAACTGTATTACTATGTAATTATTTATTTATTTATTTATTTATTTATTTATTTGTAATTACTCATATTTACATATCCATCCCTCCCATTCCCTCACCTGCCCATCCTCCCATGTTCCCTACCCAACCCATCCCATGACTACTCCCCAGGGATAGTTTGGCCCTCCATCAAGGACAGTTAAAGTCTGTCATATTGTTTGGGGGAGGGCCTAGGCCCCCTTGCTGTGTCTGGGCTGTAATAGTATCCCTACATAGGGAATGGGCTTCCAAAGTCCATTTATGCTGTAGGGATAAAGACTGGCTCAGCTGTGAGAGTACCCATAGACTGTCTTGGCCTCCTAGCTGGCACCCACATTCAGAGGGGTTGGTTTGGTCCAATGCTGTTTTCCCAGCTATGTGATTCAGTTCTCACTAGATCAGATCCACTATTTCAGAACGTCTCTCCATCCCTGTCTTGGCTCCTTTGCTCAACTCACCTCTCTTTCCACAACTGAACTCTAAGAGTATGGTTCAGTGTTTAGTTATGGGTGTCTGCCTCTGCCTCGAACAGCAACTGGATGAAGACTCTCCTTCCTCTCCCTGCACCCAGGCTCCAATTTGGTCAGGGGTAATTGTCCCAATCTCCTTCATCGAGGGACTATGCAATCTTCTCTTAGGGTCTTCCTTGTTTCGTAGCTCCTCTGGGAGTGTGGATTGCAGACTAGTGATCCTTTGCTCTATGTCTAAAAAATCAAAAATGAATGAGTACATACCATGTTTATCCTTTTGTGACTGATTTACCATACTGAGGATGCTTTCTTCAAGTTTCATCCATTTTTTTCCATTGAGTACTACTCCATTGTGTAAATATACTACATTTACTCTATCCATTCTTCAGTTGAGAGGCATCTAGGTTGTTTTCAGGTTCTGGCTATTACAAATAATGCTGCTATGAACATAGTTGAACATATGTCCTTATTGTATGAGTGTGCATTTTGGGGTATATGACCAAGAGAGGAATTGCTGGATCTTGAGGTAGACTGATTCCCATTTTTATAAGAAACCACCATACTGCACCATACTGCTTTCCAAAGTAGTTGTACAATTTGCACTCCCACCAGCAATGGAGGAAACTTTTCTTTCTCCACATCCTCTCCAGATAGACTGTCATTGTTGTTGTTGATTTAAGCCATTCTGACAGGAGTAAGATGGTATTTCAGTGTGGTTTGAGTTGCATTTCCCTGATGGGTAAGGTGTTAAACACTTTCTTTCAGCCATTTTGGATTCCTCTGTTGAGAATTCACTATTTAGTTCCACACTCCATCTTTTAATTGCATTGTTTGGTGTTTTGGTGGCTAGCCTCTTGAATTTATTTTATATTTTGGTGATCAGCCCACTGTCAGATGTGGGGTTGGTGAATATCTTTTCACATTCTGTCGGCTGGCGTTTTGTCTTGCTGACTGTGTCCTTTGCTTTACAGAAGCTTTTCAGTTTCAGGAGGTCCCATTTGTTAATTGTCTATTTCAATGTTTGAGATACTGGTGTCATGCTCAGAAAGCAGTCTCCTGTACCAATTTGTTCAAGGGTGCCTACTTTCTCTTCTAGGTGGTTCAGTGTGGCTGAATTTATGTTGAGGTCTTTGATTAATTTGGACTTAAGTTTAGTAAATGGCAATAGATATGGATCAAACTGCAATTTTCTACATGTCCGAATCCAGTTATGCCAGCACTATTTGTTGAACATGCTTTCTTTTTTTCCATTTTATAAATTTAGCTTCTTTGTCAAAAATAGGTGTGTGGGTTAATATCAGGGTTTTCAATTTGATTCCATTGGTCAACCTGTCTATTTTTGTGCCAGTACCAAACTGTTTTCAGGACTCTGGCTCTATAATCGTGATGAAGTCAGGGATGTTGATGCTTCCAGAAGCTAGGTCTTTTGTTTTTCCATGTAAAGTTGAGAATTATTCTTTCAATGTCTGTGAAGAATTGTGCTGGGATTTTGATGGGTATTACATTGAATCTGTAGATTGCTTTTGGCAAGATCGCCATTTTTGCTATGTTGATCCTACCTATCCAAGAACATGGGAGATCCTTCCATTTTCTGGTATATTCTTTAATTTCTTTCTTTAAAGACTCAAAGTTATTACTATACAGGTCTTTCTCAATTTTGGTAATTGTTACCCCAAGATATTTTATTCTGTTAGTTGCTATTGTAAAGGGTTATCTTTCTCTGATTTCTTTCTCAGCACATTTATCTTCTGTATATAGTAGGGCTCCTGATTTTTTTAGTTAATCTTGTATCCTGCCACTTTGCTGAAGGTGTTTGTCAGCTATAGTAGTTCCCTGGTAAAGTTTTTAGGGTCACTTATGTAAAGTATCATATCATCTGCAAATAGTGAATGTTTTACTTCTTCCTTTCCAATTTATATCCCCTTGATCTCCTTTTGTTGTCTTATTGATCTAGCTAGGAGTACTAGTACAATATTGATGCGATATGGAGAGGGTGGACAGCCTTTTCTTGTTCCTGATTTTAGAGGAATCGCCTTGAGTTTTTCTTCATTTAGTTTGATGTTGGCTGTTGGTTTGCTGTATATTACTTTAAACATGTTTAGGTATGTTCCTGTTATTCCTGATCTCTCCAAGACCTCATTCCTGGGCCAAGGAAGAAATAAAAAAAGAAATTAAAGACTTCCTATAATTTAATGAGAATGAAGGCAAAACATACCCAAACTTATGGGACACTTCAAAAGCAGTGCTAAGAGGAAAGTTCATAGCACTATATGCCCACATGTAGAAACTGTAAAATAGGCACACTAGAGAATTAACAGTGCAACTGAAACCTCTAGAACAAAAGGAAACAAACTTTCCCTGGAGGAGTAGACAGCAGAAAATAATCAAACTTAGGGCTGAGATCAATAAAGTAGAACCTATGAAAACACTACAAAGACTCAATGAAACAAAGAGTTGGTTCTTCCAGAAAGTCAACAAGACAGACAAACATTTGTCCAAAGTAACCAAAAGGCAGAGAGAGATTGCATGCTATTTAACAAAATCAGAAATGAAAATTGGGACATAACAACAGACACTGAAGAAATCCAGAGAAGAATCATCAGGTCATACTTTCAAAACATGTACTTCACAAAATTCGAAAATCTAAAAAAAGGAAATGGACAATTTTCTGGATAGCTATTTCTTACCAAAATTAAACCAAGAACAGATAAGCAAGTTAAATAGACCTATAACCCCTAATGAAATAGAAGCAGTCATCAAAAACCTACCAACCAAAAAAAGCCCAGGGCCAGATGGTTTCAGTGCAGAATTCTATTAGAAATTCAAAGGAGAGATAATACCAGTACTCCTCAAATTGTTCCATACAATAGCAGCAGAAGGGACATTGCCAAGCCCTTGCCATGAGGCTACAATTACCTTGGTACTGAAGCCACACAAAGACACAATTGAAAAAGAGAATTACAGAACAATATCCCTCATGAACATTGAGGCAAAAATATTCTACAAAATACTGGCAAATTGAATCCAAAAGCACATCAGAGAAATCATCCACCATGATCAAGTTGATTTTATCCCAGGAATTTACGGATGGTTCAACATGCGGAATTCATCAATGTAATCCACCATTTAAACCAACTGAAAAAGAAAAACCATATGATCATCTTGCAGGATGCTGAAAAAGCCTTTGACAAAATCCAACATCCCTTCATGATAAATGTCTTACTATGCAATTTTATAAATGGGGTTTATGGCCTTCTAAACTTTTCCGATCCCAAGATAGTCCGTTGATTTCTCCTTCTCAAAATAACTAAATGTCATTTGTTCAAGATAATATTGCTTTTTTTGCTAAGATGGCAGACATATGTCCCACATGTTAATGTTAATTTTTGATCAAAATACTAGTTTTAAATAAGAAAATCAGTTTTAAGTCCACACCATTGAAATAAAATAAATCCTTATGAACAATGCAAACAGACTCAAAAACATATTAAAACAAAGGTAAGAAAAAATGCATGGTCTTTTGACAGAGATTGTAAATAAACCTGATATTTCATAATACAATTTAATTAGGTTAATTTTGATAAAATGTAATAAAGAGAACAGTAGGGCAAAACTAAGCTGGCAAAGGGGAAAATGCTTTAAAATGAAATAGAACTGTCATCTCTGGCAATAGTAGAAGTATAAACAAATCCTCTGTCATTACACTTTTATCACTTTTAATATAGACATAAAAATAATTTCATTATTAGGAATTATTCAGTGAATCTAGTAACAAAAAAGATTTTAATTATTTTGATAGGAATGAGAATAATTTTTCAAAGATATGTTTTTCATCAAATAGATTAGGAATCTGCAAATAATAAGATTTAGGAAATTCAATCATAAACATTTAAAATACCTATTTAAAATGGAAAATGTAAAAATGAAAGAAATCATAAGTTGGCTGGATCCCTTATATGGGAAAAAAAGACAAAATGTAATTCATGATCTCTGTAACATCAGATCACGTTGTTAAAGCCCTTTTAACATTTCTTTTTTTAATTTATTTAACTTGAATTGATCTTCTCAATGCTGAGAAAGCAGAAAATTGTGAAACTTAACATTAGTCAAGAAACCATTTGACAGTAAAGGCAAATCATGTGGAATTTCCTTTGGCTAATGTGTTTTGGCTCAAAAATCACTCCTAATAGCTGCTACTTTAATTCTATATCTTACAGTTTTGGTTTTTCCTCTTCCCAATTTGGTCAAAATAGTTCTATAAAATAAAGAGTCATTGCCTCTAGTTTTAGACCCTTTCTTCATTTAACAGTGTTTGGTAAATTTTTTATTGGAAACTAAACATGGCCTGTTTATGCTTTTACAACTTAGAGCAATGTGAGTGCAATCACAGTAAACATAATTATTCATTGCACACTTGTCATGTAGGTGTAGTTGCATGGTATAAATTAGAAAGCTTATGATCATTATTAATGTAGTATGAAAATTAATAATATAATAAAATCCACTATTGCTATATAGGATTCCATTAAAATGTTTTTCTGCACAAATGTTCTATTGATATCATTATTGTTGGATGTTTGGCTTTTTTGTTTTTTTGTTTATTTTGGTATTGGGTTTCTCTGAGAAAGGCCTATGGACCAGGCTGGCCTAGAACTCACAGAGATCTACCTGCCTCTGCCTTCCAAGTGCTTGGATTAAAGACAAGCACCAGCACTCCCTGGCTTGATACCACCATTTTAAAATGCTATACTACATATTTTTCTGCTAGTATTATAGTTTAGTAGCTATGTAAATATTTGTAATATCCAGATACTGCATCAAATATAAATCATATAGCTACAAAGAAATATAGGTCCAGTCAAGGCAAAATGGATGTAAAGTAGTAAACAAATGCTAGGAACAATTATTATCACAGGAAAACAACATATCATAAGGGGAATGGAAGACAGGCATTAGTGGCCCACGCCTTTAATCCCAGCTCTCAGGAGGCAGAGGCAGGCAGATCTCTGTGAGTTCGAGACTAGCCTGCTCTACAAGAGCTAGTTCCAGGACAGCCTCCAAAGCAACAGAGAAATCCTGTCTTGGAAGAAAAAATTAAAAAAAAAAACATAAGGGGAATGAATAAAAGGAGGCCCTTGGAAGAACATCAGGGATGTGAACTAGAAAGGTAAGTATTTAAGTTGGTAAATGATAAGGAGGGACTGGATAGACAACTCAGCAAGAAGAGAACTTGCTGATTTTCCAGAGCACATGGGCTTAGGTCATTAAAGAGTATCCACACAGAGCTCTAGGCAAATGTTTGATTATAAATAAGACAATCTGTTATTCAAATATGTGATTCACCAAAATCTCAATCTCATCCTAGTTTTCTGCTTTCCACTATAAATTCATGTTAATTACATGCTGTTTAAATGTGGTATTACATATTTACTCT